CTTGTTGTTCAGTTATTAGGGGCTGGCTTATCAAATATGTCTAGAACAGGGGTTCCTAAACTTTTTTTATTTGAAGGCCCAAAAACCTAATATCATCAATAGCCGTGGGTTACTTGGATAAATATTTCAAATCATTTTACATTAAAGTTGCCATGGGTAATTTCCTGATTTATTTGATAATATTAAAAAATAAATGTAATATTAACAGCATAACTTTGAACTGTATTAACTAATGCAGTATAATTAAAAAAAAAACTTATTGCTAGCGATGCAGTGGCGCAGTAGGTAGTGCTGTCGCCTCAAAGCAAGAAGGTCGCTGGTTCGAGCCTCAGCTGGGTCAGTTGACATTTCTGTGTGGAGTTTGCATGTTCTCCCTACGTTCATGTGGGTTTCCACCCAGTGCTCCGGTTTCCCCCACAGTCCAAAGACATGTGGTACAGGTGAATTGGGTAGGCTAAATTGTACATAGTGTATGAATGTGAATGAGTGTGTATGGATGTTGCAGCTGGAAGGGCATCCGCTGCGTAAAACATACTCTGGATAAGTTGGCAGTTCATTCCGCTGTGGCAACCCCAGGTTAATAAAGGGACTAAGCCGAAAAGAAAATCAATGAATGAATGAATGATAATCCCTTGACCATTCTCAGATGGGATGACGGGCCAAATCAAAAGTTATCATGTGGTCCAAAGGGTACCTTGGGCTCTAGTTTAGGCATCTCTGTGTACAATCTACTATCCATGAGGAAACAACACATTTCAGATGGAGAGATTTGTTTATTTAAAAAAATTACTAAGTAAAAAAAAAGAAAATCATTTGCCCATCTGATTCAATAGGTGTATTCAGTGTATTTACACTTCCAGATTCCATTTTAGCACCTTGATCTAAACTGTGACAAACTACTATGACAAAAATAAAATTAAACAAAATGACCACGGTGGGCCATGTTAAATAAACTAGTTATTTTTAAATGGATATCATCATATGTTTTTTTTTCAACATATTACTTCAAGCTATACTAAAAATCAGTTTGTTAAAAATTTTTATTATCAAAGTTGATGGAAGAGAGATCAAGGTCAATAAATGGACAGAAAACGCTCATTGATTATGAACTACGGCTAACTGTTTAATAGCAGATATTTTTTAACAGTCTGCAAAGTCCACATATTTTGCATTTTTTAAACTAATGAGATAGTGTACGATATGAAGAGGTGGTTGAGACACTTTGCATAGTCTGCTAGGCAACTAAATGTAAATTACTCTTATGGGCAATCATTGAAAATTCTAGTACTGATGATAACACTCAAACATTATTATTTTCAAGTAGCTGCTTCATTGTCTCAAAAACTGAGAGCAAAAGAAAAAAGAGAATGGATGAAGACAAAGCAATAAGTCTCATTGAACAGCAGCAGAATCTTAGAAATAACATTATCATTCTTAGAGTGTTGTTGTTGTTTTATTGTTTTATTTGTTGTTACTGTTCTTTTAATGGGTTTATTAATATAGATTGCACAAAAACTACATTACCCATGATGCCACACAGAGAAACTACACTAGTCACAGTAAGCAAAACCTGCCAAGAGATCTTAAGCTCCGCCTATTCCGATGAATCACTGTGAATTACATAATTGAGGCTCAAAATACTTAGATTAGTTTATATTTAGCAAGAATCCTACACTGTAACATATAATGCAACATACAAGTTTAAATTATAGTTGTATTCTTCTCTGTCGTTTTTAAGTTGCAGTCCTTCATAGGATTGTAGCTCTTCCAATGTTAAACTGCCTTTTTTTTTAAAGTACATTCTTGCTTTAAATCAAAATTTATTTTGAGCTTCTCCATTTTGCCGATTCATTGCTTTAACAAATTCTTATTTTTAAAATGTCTATGGAAAAATTAAACTAGAAAAACACTGTCAATGCTGATGAAATGTGAGCAGACATTAACTAATTGACTAATACATTTAAATAAAACAAACCACCTTTGCTTTTAGTAGCACAAATATTTTGCACCAAAATGTTTTATTTTAAATATATTTAAAAAAAATGTTGTGGAATATTTGTAAACAGCAATTAAATGTGATTGTGTTTAAAATCTAACTCAGAGGACTTTGATTCAGTGCATAAAGTAGTTTGTCATGCAAGATAATAAAGAACTGAAGATAAACCGTCTTGATAGAGCTCTGCTGACAGGATGCTTGTGGTTTATGCCACAGTTTGGTTAACCCTGATCACAATTAGATTAAAAAAAATAGGTAAACCCTGACATGCTTTTGATGCAAGATAATGAAATGGTTACAGGGCAGATTTTGTGTTTATTTGATGGATGCTTCACGGTTTCAGAACAGAAGAAGCTTCTCTAGTTTAATAAGAGCATCAGGAGAGAACAGAGATCATCTGAAGACATCTTTAAATTAGTCTATTCCTTTTCCCACATGAAAATATGTTAAAGTGATTTATAGAAAATACTATAGTGAAGTACTTGAATTAAATTGTTACAGTTGTTGATACATTGAATATAGTAATAAAAACCAAATATTAATACTAATATAAACTAAAAACATAAACTTGCCTATTATATTATAGGCCTATTATAGGCCTACTACAATACAGGAAAACTAGAGTATACTACATATACTACACTTTTAAAGTACACAACACTATATGTAAAAACTAAAGCATACTACAGTACTAATTACAGTTTATCAGTTCACTACAGTCAATACTACAGTATGCTGTAGTATTCACTAACAAAGTTTTGTAAATAATATACAATATAATACACTTTTTAGTACCCTTAATGTCTAAATTATGTTTCTATGTTTTTTTATTAATCACTGTATGTGTGAGACTGTGTTTTTGAAATGGTTACAGGGCACTTTTTGTGTTTGTTTGATGGGCTTCTTCAGTTTTAAGAAGAGCATCAGAAGTCTGAGAGAACAGAGATCATCTGAAGACATCCTTGATTTAATCTATTCCTTTTCCAACATGAAAATATGCTTAAGTTATTTGTAGTAAATACTATAGTAAAGTACTTTAATTAATTGACATAATTTTGTAGTAACAGTTGTTGGTAATACATCGACTATGGTAACATAAACCAAATATTAACAGTAACATAAAACAAAACATAAACTTACCCAATACGGTTCTCTAAAGGATATATAATAGGCCTACAAAAATACACCAAAGCTAAAGTATACTACATACTACACTAAAGTTTACTACGTTCTATGTAAAAACCAAAGTACAGTTGAAGTCAGAATTATTAGCCCCCCTGAATTTTTAGACTTGTTTATTTTTTTCCCAATTTCTGTTTAGCAAATTTTTTCAACAAATTTTTAAATATAATAGTTTTAATAACTCATCTCTAATAACTGATTTATTGTATCTTTGCCATGATGACAGTACAGAATATTTAACTAGATATTTTTCAAGACACTTCTATACAGCTTAAAGTGACATTTAAAGGCTTAACTAGGTTAATTAGGTTACCTAGGCAGGTAAGGGTAATTAGGCAAGTTATTGTATAACAGTGGTTTGTTTTGTAGATTATCAAGAAAAAATATAGCTTAAAGGGGCTAATAATTTTGTCCCTAAAATTGTGTTTAAAAAATGTAAAACTGCTTTTATTCTGGCCGAAATAAAACAAATAGGACTTTCTCCAGAAGAAAACATATTATCAGACATACTGTGAAAATTTCCTTGCTCTGTTAAAAAGAAGAATAAAAATTGAAGGGGGCTAATAATTCTGACTTCAACTGTATATATATATATATATATATATATATATATATATATATATACATATTCATTCATTCATTTTCTTGTCGGCTTAGTCCCTTTATTAATCTGGGGTTGCCACAGCGGAATGAACCGCCAACTTATCCAGCAAGTTTTTACGCAGCGGATGCCCTTCCGGCCGCAACCCATCTCTGGGAAACATACACACATACAAACACACACACACACACACACACTCATACACTACCGATAATTTAGCCTACCCAATTCACCTGTACCGCATGTCTTTGGACTGTGGGGGAAACCGGAGCACCTGGAGGAAACCCACGCAAACGCAAGGAGAACATGCAAACTCCACACAGAAACGCCAACTGAGCCGTGGATCGAACCAGTGACCCAGCAACCTTCTTGCTGTGAGGCGAACGTGCTACCCACTATATATATATATATATATATATATATATATATATATATATATATATATATATATATATATATATATATATAAAATAGGAATGTGTTTGTGAAATGGTTAAGAAATACTTATATAATATAATAATACAATATAGTAAGAATTAATAGTCCCGTTTGATTTTTTTTCTTTCTTTTTTTTATATTTCCCAAATTATGTTTATCAGAGCAAAGAAATTTTCACAGTATGCCTGATAATATTTTTTCTTCTCGAGAAGGTCTTATTTGTTTTATTTCAGCTAGAATAAAAGCAGTTATTAATTTTTTTAGGTCAAAATTATTAGCCCCTTAAGCTATATATTTTTTCAATAGTCTACAGAACAAACCATACAATATCTTGCCTAATTACCCTAACCTGCCTAGTTAACCTGGTTAACAAAGGGCTAATAAATCAGGGGCGCTAATAATTCTGAATTCAACTGTATGTATGTATGTATGTATGTATGTGTGTGTGTGTGTGTGTGTGTGTGTGTGTGTATATATATATATATATATATATATATATATATATATATATATATATATATATATATATATATATATATATATATATATATATATATATATATAGTTATAGTTAATAACAAATAATGTTAACTTATTGTTATTATTATAACTTGTAGTTATTAAATTATTATATTTATTATAAAATAATTAATATTAATATAAAATTATTGTTCATTATTGTTGCTATAAATATTATTATTATAAATATTATTATTATTATTATTATTTATGTCGTAGACGAGATGGAAAGCCCTCTAAAAGCCATTGTGTACTGGGACGCTGTGTACATTCACTGGCTGGTCGGCTGAGAGTGCTATAGCATAGAGCGGCGCTTCAGCACTGACATCTTCCGTGCTATAGGCGGATATATAAGCCTCTCGGGTGATGATACACACTCTGCAGGGAGAGGATTTTTTCGACGAGGAAAACATTCTCTTTCAAATCGTCACATGGGGTCAATCGCTTCCTGCATCGCGACTGAACTGCTGTGCGCTTTTGTGCGTTTCGTTTCTGCCTCTTGACTCGTGTAGGTTTCTGTCGTTGCGATTACCGTGCCGCTGATGTCACAAATTTTACAGCGATGATAAGCAAAGTTAAAAATGCCATGTCCTCGCTGGTGGGCGGAATTATCCCGCACGGACACCACCATCAGCAGCAACACGGCTCGGCGCAGAACGGCGGAACGGACGGACTCCCGCCGCGCTTCCCCTACAGCAGACCCGAGTTTCTGGACCTGACACCGGAGCTGCTGCAGTACTCCACCGAGCACGCGTCCAGACCGGTCATCACGCTCAAGAGGGACAGTAGGCTGCCCTGGAGGACGGGATACGCCGAGTGAGTGATGTTTTTGTATCGACAGTGTGCCATAATGTGTCAATTATTGCTTTAAAATGATAAGCAGTGACGTCATTGCGAAGGAAGGTTATATGTCACGCCTGACCAAGGGCAATGGCTCATCATCATCATCATCATCCTCCTAGAGTCAGCTGGAAGGGTTTCACTGGAATGCGTTTTTATACCTGCACTGATGACGTAGCTTACATTTTTAATGAATATATGAGTGCATTTAAACATCAAAATGCTCCCTATGTCAGGGTATACACTAATATCAACGAAATCATGTTTACCATAGAACATTGTACTGTTTAGTGCAATGCATGTGCAATTTTTACTGCCTGCAATGTCTGCCTAGTTTTAGGCCTCGTCATTATGATTACTAATCATTAAAGATTTGTGCATGTGTTTAGTTATGCTTTGTTTAATGTAGGAATATTATGTCAGGCTCTGGTGAGGCCCTATATCAAGTCATGTCTAAATGATGGTGTTTAAGAGTTAAGCACCTGACCTAAAGTTGTAATTTCCTTAGGGAATCTAAGGACTTTCCCGGCTGAAGTTGTTAATTTAAAAAAAAGAAAGAAGAAACCAAACTAATGTGGATTAAAAAAAATTGTAATCTTGAATTCTACCTTTGTGCTGTGCACCTTTATGGGATATTAGGTAACAAAAAAATACATTTACTCAACATTTACACTACAGCACACAAAAGAGATACTTTAAAGAATGTTTAAAAAATGGAAATGAAAATGAATTAATGAATGAACATTACTAATATAATAATAATTATTATAAATAATAAAATAAAATATTCATAATATGTTTAATAAATGAATACTTTTTTTTTTTAGAATTTATGTTCATTTTATGGGGGGGGTCACCTTTAACCCTTAAAGACCTAGAGGTATTTTGTGGGCACCTAATAGGCCTATATTATTATTTTTTTAAAAGCAGTTTTTATTTTTATTTTAGCAGTCAGCCTCAAGTGTCATATATCATTTTAAACAGGAGAACCTGAAGTTTCAATCTGTATCATTTAAAGGTCCAGTCTAAAAAAATTTTTGGTCCAAAAACATATGAACAGACAGAAAATATTCCAGAATTTTCCAGAAACGATTTTTAAAAAAGTGGCATTTTCTAGTTGTTACAAACAAAACCTTATGAAGTTTGTTTTTCTTTCTTTAGAAATACATGCTATGATGTTTTATACTTCCAAAATAAATTTTGTCTACATCCACCATTCCCTGAGCAAGTTATAGCAATTTATTTCAATGTTATTCCAAGGCGTTTTTCAATGGGGGAAAAAATGCATTTATTTACTGACAATGTATTTGCCCAAAAGTTTTGGGAATGAACTAAACAGAAAAAAAAATGTTACAAAATAAAAGAACAGTGAAGCAATTTTGACTTTTTCCAAATAATATATTTTCAGTTACTATAAACAACACCACTTACAATGAACAAATAAAAAAATAAGAAAATAATAAATAATGCGTCAAAGTCCAAATAAACATGGTGCAAATCCTCAATAAAAAAATAGATATAAATATTTACTATACTATAAATAGTTACATAACTAAACTAGATTCAATATGGACCATCCTTAGGTTTTATGTGCCAGCATGGACATGATTGTCTATGGATATGGATATGGCTGTCTGCAATGCAGACAAACAGCCGCACCTTCATTTGCGTTTTTTGAAAACAGCAAGAGCAGCACTTCGTCTTTGCTGTGTCACTGTTTTGTCATGTTTCTGTGCAGATGTGCATGCAAAAGTACTTAGTATGAGAATTATTTCATGCAAAACTTTTTTTTTGCGTTTTATTTAGCCGCGCGTAAATGTACAGCCTATCTCTCATTCCGTGTTGTTCAAAAAGCTCATTGTTGGTCCAGAAAGCGAAACCTATGCTTATTGGTTGAGAGATTGTGAGTTTGAACCAATCTGGGCATGGAGGAGGGACAATGCATCAATGTATCATATCTGGTTTGTCCGGAGACACAGTGACGAGCGTTCCTTTGTCAAATCAGCGTTGTCAAATTTTGATGACGTAACCGCACTGATTCCGGAGCCTCTGAAAGTCCGCGAATGTACTATGTTACAGCGCTGGAAAGCTGAGATTCTCTTCTTTATGCCAAACTTTGAATTGTATGAATCGGATCAGCGGATCAAAAGTTATTAAACATTTAAGAGCAATACTTATTTTTAGCCGCGGGCGGCTGTCTCGGTCTTTAAGGGTTAATAGATAGGAAAGTGTAGAGTATTGACAGGAAAATGTGGGGAACAGAGTGGAAGGATCAGCATAGGACCGCGAGGCGGGATTCGAACTCGGATCGCCATAAGCACTCAAGTGCATGTGTCGATGCACTAACAAATATGTATTTATTAACTATTATTATTATTATATACTAACTTTCGGCGTCACGGTGGTGCAGTGGGTAACACGATTGCCTCACAGCAAGAAGTTTGCTGATTCGAGCCTCGGCAGGGTCAGTTGGCATTTCTGAGTGGAGTTTGCTTGTTCTCCCCGACCGGTGTTCGTGTGGGTTTCCTATAGGTGCTCCGGTTTCCCCCACAAGTCCAAAGACATTTGCTATAGGTGAATTGGGTAAGGTACATTATCTGTAGTGTATATGTATGAATGAGTGTTTCCCAGGGATAGGTTGCGGCTGGAAGGGCATCTGCTGCATAAAACATATGCTGGATAAGTTGGTTCATTCCGCTGTGGGGACCCCAGATTGATAAAAGGGACTAAGCCAAAAAGAAAATGAAAGAATGATACTTGCTTACTGCCAGGGCCGTTTATATCAATGTTGATATTTAGCCGCACCATGTTGGTGATTCATAACATCTAGTTTTTATGAGGTTAGCTGTTAGCTCAACGCTCAACCACCAACCTGGAGGACCAGAACATACACACATATGCTGCAGACAAATTAGCTTACCCAATTCACCTATAGCGCATGTCTTTGGACTTGAGGAAACCCGAGCACCGGAGGAAACCCACACAAACTTGGGGAGAACATGCGAACTCCACACAGAAATGCCAACTGACCTAGCTGGGGCTCAAACCAGCGACCTTCTTGCTTAGAGGCGCAAGTGCTATCCACTGCGTCACCATGCCACCCATTATTATATATATATAATAATTATAAATATTAAATAACAATCTATTCATAATTTATTGGATGTATTTTAGCAGCTGAATCCTGTTTAATTTTGCTTCATTAATCTTCATCTGAAGTGCAGTAATTACACGCAACTGAAAAGTCAAGATCAGTGGTCAACAGGGATGAAAACCCAGACTTTCATCAGGCTTGGTCTGTCGGGTGAAGATCAAGGCCAGACTTGCACACAGTCCCCGAGATCAAAGCCAGTATGATGATGGTGCAGTCTTGAATCATACCATCATAATAATGAATATAATTTTAGGTGATTTGCAAAATTATAATATTTACGTGACACAGACCTTCTCTGCACCCAGTTTGAAGAATAGGTAGTCGAAGGAATAGGAGACAAGAAGGAACAGGCACTGATGCTCAAATAAGCTCAGTTAGCCCCTGGTTATTTCATCTATTATTAACTACAGTACAAGAAGAGAACTTTGTTTGTGGTCATGTGATGACAGCATTTGAAACTGAGTGCGTTCTTTCAAGTGCGTACCCTCAAAACAAACAGACTTTGTAGCTGTTAGCTTTAGCATATGCTCACATACAGTGCACACACGCTAACAAACAAAGGCTTTAGCTCTCACTGATAGACCTTCAATTCAAGCAACAAGTTTAAATGAGCATGAAACTCTTTACAAACTGTTTGATTTTTAATTTTGTTTTTAATTTTAAAACAAAGATTCCTTGGATTTATAATTGTCATAATAAGTCTAAATAAGTGAATATAACATAATTGCTCTAACATTAAACTGATAAAATATTAAATAATTACTGTTTCTGACACATTGTCTTGTGTCTTTGTTATTAAAGATTTGAGACCCAAAAAACTGTATGCAGCACAAAATAAGATTTAATTGAAATGCTTTGGCATCCTTTTGGAGTCTTACTGTCTTAAAGACTCTTAACAAGCTCTTAAAGGTCTTGTGAAATTAAAATACATATTTTTAGATGTTAGTATTTCTATGTATTTATAAGCTAGTGTGCTCCAAAACAGTGACAATTATGCACTTAGAAAATATAAACATATCCGGCAGCTAGCTCTCTGCAACTTGGTCACATGGTCACCCTCTAAAGCTACAGTAAGCAGGGCTGTGCCCGATCAGTATCTGTATTGGAGACCACATGGGAAAGCTAGGTTGCTGTCGGAAGTTGTGTTAGTGAGACCAGCAGGTGACGCTCAACCTGTAGTTTGTGTGGGTCCTATTGCCCTAGTATATTGATGGGGACTCTACTGCTCAGTGAGCACTGTATTTTGCATGAGATGTTCCACTAAGGTCCTGACTTTCTCTTTTCGTTAAGAATCCCAGGATGTCCTTCGAAAAAGAGTAGGGGTTAACCCCAGTATTCTGGTCAGATTTGCCCACTGGCCTCTGTCCATCATGGACTTCTAACCATCCCCCATATCATAATTGGCTTCATCACTCTCTCCACCAATCAGCTGGTGTGGGGTGTGCGATCTGGTACAATATGGCTGCCGATGTGTCATCCAGGTAGATGCTGCTTTGGTGGATGAGGAGATCCCCCAAAAATGTGTAAAGCTCTTTGAATGTCCAGAAAAGTGTTTATAATTGCAAGGAATTATTATTATTATTATTATTATTATTATTATTATTTTAATTATTATTATTATTATTATAAAAACACTACAAAAAATATCAAATTTTTACTAGTTTTATTTTTTGTATAATTATCGAATATCTAACAATTCTCAAAACAAGAAGCATTTTCTAGACAAGCAAAACATATTGTCTTGTTTTCAGAAATAATATGTCAAAAATAAGCAAGTTTTTCCTTTAAAACAAGACAAAATAACCTGCCAAAGGGGTAAGTA